ATTAAACATGAAAATTGTTTTTATTTGCATTTCAAAAACAAATTTCTTCAATATTCAGCCCCATTTATATAATAGATATTTAGTATTCAATTTTGTTGCTGAGATGTTTCAATGGGATATAAGTTAAGCGCTTTTGGGTAATGAAATTTCGTATGAACGGAATCTCATGGAGTCATTTTTGTGTTTAAATTTAGCCCAACAAATTCAACGACTTCGAGGGTGAAAATATTCAAAGTTAATTTATATTCTCGTATCACTGAAAATGAATTTTTTTTGTTTGTTACAATCATTATGATAAAAACACAATATAATCGTCAAGGGATTAAAAAAATGTTAATATTATCAACCTTTTCATTACAAGTACACCCATTTAAATATATATATATTCAGTATATATTATCAACAATTTAAGTACAGTCATTCATCAATTTTTGCTTACGAAAATATAAAGTGAATATGTACAATTATCATTCGCATTAATATCTAAAAAAGTTAGGACGGAGCTGCTAAACTCACAAACCTCAACAAAACAGCCAGAAATTAACTTGAGATACGATCCGCATGTGTTTGATACCCACGATCTTTTTCAGTATGACGACAGCAATAGCTCATTTGTGCCTCAGTTGTGATATGTGCATAGCACGCCTAATAAGAATCTGTCTGCATGAGCAGTGTGCATCTTAAACATCTTACCATCTACCTGAAGTTGAAAATAAGCACGGGTGTAAAATTTTTTATTTTTTTTTTTGGGGGGGGGGGGGGACTTGTCAACTACGGAAACGTAGAATGAAAATGAGAAAGTAATCATATACAAGTTTCTTTCGCACTCTCAATTTTTATTATTAAAAATCGCTTCGAACACGGTTGTATGCGGCCCCGATACCGCAAAAGACGTGGGAAGATACGAAGTCACAGCCACACGCAACCTCAGCAGGGGTCGGCAACCTTTTGTCGCTCACGGGCCAAAATCAAGGGTTACGAATCTTGGCGGGCCGCACATATTTTGCAAGAAAGATAAAAACTGAACGGGTGGCCGATGAACCACATTATTTACACAGATCAGAATTGGAAATTTCAGACTTTATTTAAATATAGAACGAACACTGCGACAACTCGTGGACTCAAGAGGTCTTACCATGCAAAAGATTCACAACTACCATTAATTGTGACACTGTTTGTTGCATTACGCCTGATAACTTTTCGAAATCAGGTGACACACTGGTTGAAGCCAAAATTTGAACATTTTCTAAATGGGTATCACTAATCCTAGTTCTCCGCACTCAAAACTTTAGTTTGGTTCGGTAATTGAAAATAAAAAGCGATTTTTTTCATAACGATATAGGAATAAGAATTATTATTGCTGAACAAGAAAACATAATGATAACATTCCTCTCTCTATTAACACAAATATGGTAATCACTTATTCTAATGGAATTTCGTAAAATTGAGCGCCCGGATGTAATACTCCAATGTCACTTTATACCTAACAGGAGTTGCGATCAGGTCATAAGCTAGAAATCTTTGTCCATCGATTTTAAAATGACTTGGGGAAGACGACGACAGCATTACAATATGAATACAGAATGTTTTTAAAAACACACAACATCAGATACCGATAACTACATAAGGTTACATCTACCATTAAGGTAATAAAATAATATACATAAAAAATAAATGAATTATCCACAGTGAGAAAATGTCAAAAATTTGTACGGTTTGAAATACCTGACATAGAATTTTTATTTTCTACTTGCGTTTGACACCAACGCTACACTTCGGTGTCTTGACATAGTAGCTGCTTCTTAGCGCTATCCGTGGTACGTTTCCACATACAGCCACAAACCTGCAAATGTATTGTGGATTTGACCATCGCATTGAATGAACGTTCTAAGTGGATTTTCTTCTTTAATTGAAAAGGTTTTGAGCGTTCGAATGAAAAATATCGTAAAAAATTATATAATAACTCATCGATATGGAGATTCGGTCATGGTTTGCAAATTTAAATCCAGTGACTTGTGAAACAAGTTTGGGGAGTTCGAACAGCATTACACTCGGAAAAATACTGTAGTCGTGCATCTATCTATAATATAAACGACATTGCGTAATATAAAAATGTAATCGTGACTGCTAACAGTTGTCAGCTGAATGTAGCGGAATTAAACGATTTGGACTAATATTTCAGTAACCTTTTCAGTTGATTTTATTTATATGCTCAGCTTCTGGCGATACGCATATCACTTTAAAATTTAGCTTTTTTTTGGTGGAAAAAAAAACTGAGCACAAGGAAAAATTTTGATGAGTTTGACAAAGTCAAAAATGGATATAGATCCACCTAAGATAATTATTTTATCGGAATTAATGATGTTTAACTATTGTTTATTACTCAACGCATTCTACCAGTAAAGACAGGAACGTGATGTGTTGTATATACATTTGCAGATTTGCTTATAGATTTTTTTACCAAACAAATACAAGTAAATACAATGAAATTTATAACAGTAACTAATGCTGGCGATATTTATGAATATCGAGCAACGCTCAAACAAAGTATCGAGGTGGTGTTTGCTTAGTGATTTACGAGAATATGGTTCACATGGGGCCGTCA